AAAGAAATGAAAATTAAAGCAAATCTAACTCTATGAATAAAATCAAAAGAAACTGAGGTGTTGTTAGTGAAAACAATTCCAACAGAAACCCGTCGTCAGTAGCGGATTTCAGTATTTGTGAAACTGATGCTTACGTAAAGCTGAGAGCGAATAAGTTCCATTAAATGATGAAAAACAGGGTTGACTGGATGCACGGGGATGAAATCAGTCTTTCGTTCTGTGAGATTTTGAAGGCAAAAAACCAGAGATATAACTGTTGTGCACAACTGCAGGGTGCGGAAGGCAACACTGTATAATTGCGTGTAATTCTTGTGCAAATCCAATCGGACTTATTTGCCCTCAGCTTCACTTAAGCATAAGCTTCATAAATGCGAGGACGGTTTACTGAAGACGAGTTTTTGTTAGTCCCCACTCGCATAAGCTCAATTTTTTTTTCTTTTGCTTTTGTTTACAGGCTCCAGTTTTTTGATTCCATTTTTTATTTCCTTTTATTCACAAGTTCAGCTTTGTTTTAATTTACTCTTCTTTGTAGTGTTCGCTTAATTCTCTCTTTACTGCCATTGGCAGTTCTTGCCTCGGACCCCTGACTAGCACCCTCGTTCCCCTTCACCATCCTTCCCCAATTCTTGCCTCCACATCCACACCAGAGCACTCATCACCCACCACTCCCAACTACTGCCGCCATTCATCGCCCTCAACCCCTGACCAGAACCTTCGTCCCCCTCCACTATCCTGGCCCCAACCGTGCCCTCTGGATTACATCTGGCCACCCTGGCCTCACCCCCCTCCTCGCCCCACCTCTCCAACAGCACTCAACCCCCACACCCACTACCTCACGTCATCCAGCCGCCAAACACTGAGTAGCGCTACCCCGCGCGTACAGCAAAGTGCCAAGCGGTTTCGGCGATCGATGCCGCGAGGTAACGTGGACAGAGATGCTACAGCGCTTTCCAAACACCATGGACGATTAGCCGAGCGGAGCCGAGTTTTTGTAATTGCAATTTTTTTGGCTGTAGGGCTATTTTGCTAACGCCTGCCAGACCCGATGCGTACGCTTCAACTGATAGCCCTGAGTGGTCCGAGAAGAATACATCTTCGAGTTCACGACATTTCACATTGCCGCGAAGACCACCGAGAGCAATGCACAGTGTTCTAATATCAGCCCGATTTTGTTGGAGAGAAACACATACATTGCTTTTAATCAATGTGCTTTCCATTCAGTTGTCTTTTTAGCACAGCACAAAACGCCACCCGGCAACACTTCTACAGTTGCTGAGTCAGAAATGCCAGTGCTCTTCGTCCCGCACAGTTCCCTCGTCTTTCCTCCCAAACAGAAATGCAATACAAAGGCTGTGGCTGCTTCTGCGACCTTTAGTTGATGACAAATACCGTGCACATGATTACAGCGATCATCAACAGTACGGGAAGCTCTGCGGAGAGTTAACGGTACTGCTGGCGGACGAACAGAATTGCAGAAGCAGAGGATATCCCACAAACCGCACATCTATACACTGCGTTACGGAACAAGAAACGATGAAGCAGACGCACACGATCCAGAAACCGGAAGATCGCATGATTTTCTCCTAG